CTGTACTGTTTTCCTTTGTGGCTGTACCAGTTTACATTCTCACCAACACTGCACAGGGTTTGTTCCCTTTTCTCCACAGCCTCGCCAACACTCGTTATTTCTTGTCTTTTTGATGCTAGCCATTCTAACAGGTGTGAGCTGATATATCTCATTGTGGTTTTGATGGGCGTTTCCCTGATGATTAGTGATGTTGAACATCTTTTCGTGTACCTGTTGGCCATCTGGATGTATTATTTGGAAAAATGTCTATTCAGATCCTCTGGCCATTTTTAAATCAAATTGTTGTGGGTTTTTTTTTTTTGCTATTGAGTTGTGTGAGTTCTTTATGTATTTTGGATATGAACCCTTTGTCAGATATATGATTTGCAAATATTTTCTCCCATTCTGTAGGTTATCTTTTCATTTTGTTGATTGTTTTCTTTGCTGTGCAGAAGCTTTTTAGTTTGATGTAGTCCCTCTTGTTTATTTTTGCTTTTGTTGCTTTTGTTTTTGGTGTCAAATCTAAAAAATCATCGCCAAGACCAATGTCAAGGAGCTTACCACCTTTACTTCCTTCTAGGAATTTGGGGTTTTTTTGCTGAGGAAGATTAACCCTAAGCTAACATCTTTGCCAGTCCTCCTCCACTTTATGTGTGGGTCTCCACCACAGCATGGCTGACAAGTGGTGTAGATCTGCGCCTGGAGTCTGAACCCATGAATCTGGGCCACCATATGGAGCGCACTGAACTTAACAACTACACCATGGGGCCGGCCCCTCCTTCGAGGAGTTTTATAAGGTTTCAAGTCTTAAATTCAAGTCTTTAACCTATTTTGTGTTAATTGTTGTGTATGGTGTAAGATAGTGGTCCAGTTTCATTCTTTTTTTTTTTTTTTAAAGATTGGCACCTGAGGTAATGTCTGTTGCCAATATGTATTTTTCCTTCTCCTTCTCCCCAAAGCCCCCCAGTATATACCCAGCACATAGTTGTATGTTCTAGTTGTGGGTCCTTCTAGTTGTGCAATGTGAGATGCTGCCTCAGCATGGCCTGATGAGCAGTGCCATGTCCGCGCCCAGAATCCGAACCAGTGAAACCTGGGCTGCCAAAGCGGAGCACGGGAACTTAACCACTCTGCCACGAGGCCAACCCTAGTTCCATTCTTTTGCATAGTGCTGTCCAATTTCCCTAACACCATTTATTGAAGAGACTGTCCTTCCCCCATTGTATATTCTTGGCTCCTTTGTTGTAAATTAATTGACAATATATGCATGGGTTTATTCCTTGCCCCTCTATTCTATTCCATTGATCTGTGTATCTGTTGTTGTGCTAATACCATTCTGTTTTGATTATGATAGCTTTGTAATATAGTTTGAAATCAGGAAGTGTGATGCCTCCAGCTTTGTTCCTCTTTCTCAGAATCACTCTACCTATTCAGAGTTTTTTGTGGTTCCATGCAAATTTTAGGATTGTTTTCTCTATTTCTGTGAAAAATGCCTTTGGAATTTTTTTTTTTTTTTTGAGGAAGATTAGCCCTGAGCTAACATCTGCTGCCATTCCTCCTCTTTTTGCTGAGGAAGACTGGCCCTGAGCTAACATCCGTGCCCATCTTCCTCCACTTTATACGTGGGACGTCTACCACAGCATGGCTTGCCAAGTAGTACCATGTCCGCACCTGGGATCTGAATCAGTGAACCCCGGGCCACCAAAGTGGAACGTGTGTACTTAACCGCTGCGCCACTAGGCTGGCCCCTGCATGTTTTTTTATTTGAATATAGTTTCAGTATCATAATTAACCCCTCATTATGTCATAGTTTCCTCATTTATAAAATGAGGATAATAGTTTTTACCTCATAGGGATGTTTTAAGGGTTAAATAAGTTATTGGATATAAAGCACTTCAAACAGAGTGTAGCACACAGTGAGCATTATATAAGAGCTGGTAGGGGCCGGCCCAGAGGCGCACGTTCCACTTTGGCAGCCCAGGGTTCGCCAGTTCAGATCCCACGTGCGAACATGGCACCACTTGGCAAGCCATGCTGTGGTAGGCGTCCCACATGTAAAGTAGAGGAAGATGGGCATGGATGTTACTGCAGGGGCAGTGTTCCTCAGCAAATAAAAAAAAGGAAAAAAAAAGAGGAGCATTGGCAGCAGATGTTAGCCCAGGGCTAATCTTCCTCAAAAAACCCCCAAAACCTGGCTATATAAGTGCTAGTTACTATTTTTTGGAATGTAAATGCTACTGACCTTATTATAAATAATGCTATAAATAAACAGCAGTATTTATAAATATTGTATGAAGTTTTAAATATTTCTTTAGAATAGACCTTTTTTTTATAGAGGAGGATTGGCCCTAAGCTGACATCCGTTGCCAATCTTCCTCCTTTTTTCTTCTTTTTCCCCCTCAAAGCCCCAGTACATAGTTGTGTATAGTTGTAAATTCTTCTGGTTCTTCTATGTGACCCACCGCCACACCATGGCTACTGACAGACGAGAGTGGTGTGGTTCCACGCCCAGGAACCAAACCCGGGCCGCCAAAGTGGAGCATGCCGAACTTTAACTGCTAGGCCATCAGGGCTGGCTGTAGAACAGACTCTTGCAAGAGGCCTTGCTGGATCAAAGGGTCTGCACTTTTCAAAGCCTCCTGATATGAACTGCCAGATTGCTTTCCAGAATCATTGTGTCATATTCACCACAAAGCCACCAACATTAAACACCATCCTGTTCTTCCTTGTTGTCCATCAATAGGTGAAAAGGGACTTAATTTGTGTGTGTGAGGTTGAACATTTTCTTGTTATTAATCATTTATATTCTATAAATTGTCTCTTCATGTTCTTTCTGTATTTCCTTGTAGTTTGTTTTTTTTGGCATGAGTTCTTTTTATAATGAGGATTGTGTTGTCTGTTATATTTCATGCAGATAACTCCCTCAGTTTTCATTTTCCCTGTCTTTTAATTTTGTCCAATTTTTTTTTGATGAGGAAGATTGCCCCTAAGCTAAGATCTGTTGCCAATCTTCCTCTTTTTTCTTGAGGAAGATTGTTGCTGAGCTAACATCTGTGCCAGTCTTCCTCTATTTTTGTATGTAGGATACCACCACAGCATGGCTTGATGAGCGGTATGTGGGTCCACACCCGGGATCCGAACCTGCGAACCTGCGGCTGACGAAGCAGAGCACACAAACTTAACTGCTATGCCACAGGCTGGCCCTATTATTTTTGAGTTAGAGAAATTTAAAATTTTTCATTGTAGATCCATTCATTTTGTGTATGTGTGCCTGCATGTGTGCACATGTGTGTGTGATTTCTTCCCTGGCTTTAATGCTTAGGAATTTCTTTCCCATCCTAAAGGCAGACTAATGGTCCCAATGCTTTCTTTCTTTTAGGTTCTTTTAATTTTGTTTTTTATATTTAGTTTTTGATCTGTCTGGAATTATTTTGGTATATGATTTGAGATGATGATAGAACTTTTTTTTCACTCGGTGTAATAAATTTTAATAATACTTTTTACCATATATTGAATTTTTACATTTATTACTGTATGAGCCAACCTTATATGTTCCTAATATTAATCTTGCCTTTGTGCTTTATGATACGCTTTCCTAGCTGACAGAGAACATCGAGGTTCAAGTTCTTTGGGCTTGGAGACCCCAAAAGCCTCCTCTCGTGAGCTCAGAAGGCTGTGCACGTCTGGCCCTGCTCGTGTGCACCCTGGGGTTTTCCCTTCTGATCGTTCTGCTCTGTCTTTCATGAAGCACATGTACATTATGAGTCACATGAATTTTCTTATGTTTTCAGTACCCTTGCCTGAGTTAAGTTCATCATTCTTTCTTCTTTGTTTCCTTCTCTTCTCGGCCCGGTTAGCGTTTCTTTGCCTGTATGTGTGCTCTCATTCCCTGGCATTTCTTCATCCCAAGTCTGTGAGTGAAAACCTGTTTGTATGAATTTATTCTTTTTCTAGTTTTCTTCCATTACTTTTCTTTGGTTGAAGTTTTTTAATTAACCAAAATATCCTTTGACAAAAATATTTTTACTTCTATGTTTTATTGCAACCATGTCTCTCTTTTTTCATGTCCTTTTTTGTTCTCAGCACCTTTTCCCCATTAAAGCAAAGCTTTTACATTTCTCCTCTCAGAAGAAGTACTGCTCATCTTTCAGACCCAGCTCAGATACTGCCTCCTCTGGGAAGCCTTCAGAGCTCATATTAGTCACCATCTTCTCTGTGTTTTCATTATTTTTTTTTTCCTCCCCAAAGCCCCATATCATATACATGGTTGTATATAATTGTAAGTTGTTCTAGTTCTTCAATGTGAGCTGCCGCCACAGCATGGCAACTGACAGACAGGTGGTTTGGTTCCGTGACCAGGAAGTGAACCTGGGCTGCCGAAGTGGTGAGCGCTGAACTTTAACCACTGGGCCATCAGGGCTGGCTCTGTGTTTTCATTCTTATGGACCATGTTATGGCATCTCACACACCGTGACTGTAATGTAATTCATTGTTTTCATGGCCATCTTCCTTGCTAAGAGCGTCCTTCCTCTTCAGTGTCAAGGAAATGCCTGATTTTTCTCTATATCCCCAGCTCCAGCTCAGCCCTTGTATGTCCTAGATGTTCCATCAGTGGATCCAGCAGGTGGGGTAGATTCAGGGCTGTACTGGAGGGTTCTCAGAGAGGTCTCCTTCTACCCTTAGATGTACCTCCCTGGGAATGAATAGCATCCTCACCTTGACTTTCTAGCCTCACCTCTCTCCCTACTAGTATCCAGCCAGTGCATGAAACTGATAACGTTTCCCTATTGGATCTTGAAACACAGAATGGTCAGCCCTTTACACCTTTAAAGGGTGGTTTGGAACTTGAGGCCCATAGCAGGCCTTGAGGGAATGGGGGTCCAGGATTCATCAAGCTGATTGGGGCAGTGGTATTTGGTTGTAGATGTTGGGAGTGTGGGAGGCTAGAGGAGTGGGGGTAAGCTGGGGTCCACCCAGACGGAGTGAGGTTACCTAGGTCTGCGTAGTTGCACTGCTGCTTCAAATAAAATCTGCTGAGACGGTTATGGACATTTGTCAAAGGAACACATTCTGGAAGGAGAATTGATAAGGAAGCAAGTTAATATGTACAGATTAATTTCCCATTATTACATAATTAATTTTTTCACTTTGAACAATTTTGTTTCCTTATTTAAGTAAAAAAGCAATTTTTTGATATAGAACATCTAAAGTGAATTATAAACCACAAAACAATATTTAATATCATTCCTTTAGAATAAAATCCATAAAGCATCCTCTCAAAAGAAAAAAAAAGAAAACAAAGAATGTACTACCACCCAGGCTACCGCATGCTCCTTTTATCCCTCTTGCCCCCTCTCTCTCTTTTATTGTCCCTCTTTGATTTACGAAAAAGAACATATAACACTTTAGAGAGCCCCGCGAGACCAGAGAAACCCTAGTCCACGGAATCCCTGACACCAGTAGGGCGCCCTGCTGCTCCTGGTCCCGAGGAAGGTCATTCCCAGGGGGCGCTGTGGGGTGAGGCAAGAGGCACCCCGCCTCTGTCTGCTTCTCACCCGCCTCAGAGAGGCGGACACGGGGTCGGAGAGAGAGGTGGGGGTAGAGAGGCTGAAACAAACCCCGGAAGACTCCTGAGTGTCACACTGATCAAGGAGGAAGGTTTAGGAGGACGCCCACCATCCAGTTAACGTTGGAACCTGGACGAGAGGGTGGGGGAAATGGGGAAAGAACATTAGCTTTCGAACTTTCTCTTTATATATTTTTGGATTGTTTCACTTATTGAAAAAACAAAAGACCTTAAAATATAAAGAATATGTAGTAAAGGCTAGACTTAAAATAAAATAGAAATGAGGTCGGGGTCACCATGGGGGTGGCAAAAGGAAGAGAAAGGGAGAAAAGGGAAATGCAGAGGGGCCTGAAGAGTAAAGGTGATGTTTCTAATGTAAGCTTATTTGTAAAACTATCACCTCCACTTCTCTTAGTATTTTTCTAATAGTGAAAACGGAGCTAGATTTTGTTGTTGTTCTTTTTCAGTGGTGAAAGCCAGGTTGGGGTGGGGAGGCAAGCAGGTGGGCCAGGTGAGCACAGCTGGGCGATTGGAAGGTGGGAGGGCCAGGAAGCACTTCTGCACCCTGGCTGCTCAAGGCCGGTCCTGTGAGTGGTACTCCCTCTGGCTCTGGAGCTGATGGGCTGATGGAGGTGTGGTGCTGGCCATGGCCCAGCAGGTGGCAGCACACCCCAGAGGTCCTGGGCTAGGAGCTGCTGGCCCTCCTTGGCCATGGAGGTGGTAGTGGAACCAGGCACCCACCCACAGGCCCTACCCTGGTGCTGCTGGCTGCTTGCCTCTGAAGGTCCTTGTTTCACACACTGTGGATAGAAGTATTTATTGGTTCCCTCTGAGAAGCCCGGATAGCCAGTCTGCTTGGCTGCTCGTGGAAGTTCTGGGTACAGAGGCTCCTCCTGCCAGGAGGTTTGAGCAGCAGATGAGGTGTGCAGGCGGAAGTGAAGGCAAGGCCTCAGGAAGCAGAGGGCAGATCCTGGGATTTTGAGCTCTGCTTTCCCTTAAAACAGCTGGGTTGGTAATATGTGAAAGAGAATATTGGTACCTATGTTGGTTTATTTTTCTGATCTAAGAAGTAATACTTTTTTTCTTTTTTAAGATTCTGTTTTTCCTTTTTCTCCCCAAAGCCCCCTGGTAGCTAGTTGTATATTTCTTTTTAGTTGTAGGTCCTTCTAGTTGTAGCATGTGGGACGCCACCTCAGCATGGCCTGGTGTGCAGTGCCATGTCTGCGCCCAGGATCCGAACCGGCAAAACCCTGGGCCGCTGAGACGGAGCGGGCGAACTTAACCACTCGGCCACGGGGCCGGCCCCACCTCTGTTAAATTTCTTACGATTACTTTGAGAAAAAAGAAAACAAAGGCTCTGCACTGGTTTGACTATCTCTAACTATTTATGTTTCTTTTATTTATTTGTTTATTTTAAACCCCAAAATGATCATATTGTATATACTGTTCTAAGCCTTGTTTTTTTCACACACTATACCTTGAAGATTTTTTTTTCATTGAGGTATAATTGACCTATAGCATTGTATTAATTTCAGGTGTACAATATGAAGATTCCATATTTGTATAGATTGTGAACTGATCGCTACAAGAAGTCTAGTTGACTTCCGTCACCGCACACAGTTACAGAATTTTATTTTTTTATTTCTTGTGATAAGGATTTGAAGATCTTTCTAGTCATCACATATAGACTTCTGTCTATCATAATTTTTTCACTGGATCTCCCTGTTGATGGAGATTTTGGATGGTTCCAGTTGGGGGCTGATATAAACAGTGTTACAGTGGACATCCTTGTGTGTTTATTTTGGCATACTTCTACAAGTCCAAATTCTTACAAGTGAGTCAAAGGGAAAATTTTAAAATTTGATGGCTAAATTTTCCTCTAGAAAGGTTGCCCCGCTTTACACGCCCAAGAAGAACGTGTGAGGGTGTCTGTTCCCATGTGGCCGTAGAGAAACCTGCCCCTGCCAGGAGCCCTTGGACATCCTAGGTGGTAGGATTGGGCTGTGGACAGGAAGTGGGCCCAGCGCCCCTGCTGTGGGACAGCAGCCACCTCCCTCCGTGGCCTTTACCTCCTCAACTGCAAATGTCCTCGGTGGTTGTGAAGTGACTGTTGCACTGTGGGAGCCAGCAGCCTGTCTTCTAGTGATGGGGAACACTCCCTCGATTTCCCTTATCGCTTCAGCAAGGCTTTCCTGTCTGCCTGTGGATGAGAGAGTGATTAACCACATCTTCTGACTCTTCCAGGTGAAGAAGGCATATAGGCAGAAGGCCCTCTCCTGCCACCCAGACAAAAATCCGGATAATCCCAGGGCAGGTGAGAGTCTTAGGCATGGGAAGAAGGAGACCCGCTCGCCTGGGTGTGGTGTTTCCCCATCTCTGCTCCCGTGTGAGTGCTGTGCAGCACCGATGCGCGCAGCCTGGTGCTGGGCCCCACAGCTGCACTTTGCACCTTAGGGGCCTCTGGTCAGTTGCTGATGTGCACACCTTTCTTTGCTTGTCCTTCATCTGCTGATGTCAGCTTTTCTGCCAGCCTTTGGCTTCTTTGAGGTGCTTTGTTGAGGGAGCACACCATCACCAAGTCTAACTATTTTTCTTTTCTCTCTTTTTTGATCCTTATGTTTAGCTGAACTCTTCCACCAGCTTTCTCAGGCCTTGGAGGTGTTGACTGATGCTGCAGCCAGGGTGAGCACATCCTCCTCTATCTGAATCGTCCCCCAGGGTAGAGACCACTGTGGCACTTCCCCCTCCGTCTTCTATACCCTGCCATGTGGCACAGTCCTTGCCGTCCCAGCCCAGAGACCCAGTCACCAGGCTGCTTCCCGACGGCTCTGGGGCTGGGTGGCGGGACCAGGAAGATGCCTGGGCTCTGTGCTTCTCTGGCTGAGTGCTCCTTGGCGTTCCTTTCTCCCACCAGGCTGCGTACGACAAGGTCAGGAAAGCCAAGAAGCAGGCAGCAGAGAGGACCCAGAAACTTGATGAGAGAAGGAAGAAAGTGAAACTTGGTAGGTGACGTCGTGGTGCTGGGTGGCCTGCGGCTTCCCGGGGCCATTCCCACGCAGCTCCCTCACCTGTCTTCCTGGAGCTTCAGTTCCAGCTACTCAGCTTTTTTTGCTCAGCTCTAGGCAGAACCCTGTTCTTAGGGGTGGATCCCAAAGGACACCCTTAGAAATAATAACAGTGACTAGATTTACTATTAGCTAAGCATTGTGACAGATGTTTTACTGTCTCCTTTAATTATCACAACCATCCAAGGAGTGGGTATTACTAAACCCATTTTTTATAGACAAAGAAGCTAAGGCACCAAAAGGATAAGAACTTGCTGGCGCTGGGACGTAAAGCCGCGCAGTGTGAGCGGGACCAGTGTTCTCAGTCACTGTGCCGTCCTGGTGACTCCTCCCAGCCTCATTTCTGCACAGAGCTTTCACTCTGAGAAGTCCCCTCGGAAAGATCCAGAGAAGTCTAGGCATTCTTTTTTTATAAAAATAGCTTTATTGAGCTATATTTTGTATATCATAATATCCACCCATTTCAAGTGTACAATTCAAGAATTTTTAGTAAATTTGCCAAATGGTGCACCTACGACTATAAATCGATTTTAGAATATTTCCATCACCCTAGTAAGATTGTTCCAGGCATTCTTTACTTGATTTTTCTCCCCTTCTTCTCACCTATTTGATATCTGTATATTTAATATGTGCATATGCCATCCCAGTACATCCATTTGTCTATCAAAAACAAACAAACAACCTTGGACGTTCTAGGCAAGTAAAGTGCAGAGAAAAGAAAGGAGTGAGGCCCAGGCCTGAGAGAAGGGTTTGCCACAGCAACTGGCCTGGCACAGAGCCACAAGCAAGTTTCTCTTGGAAGGCGGGAAGGGCTCCAGGACCTGGGGTGACTCCCTCGCACAGAGTCGGCCGTCCCTCTAGGAGTGGCCGTAGCCGGTCCGCAGTGAGGCTTGATCAGTGCAAGTTGAGGGGGAGGGAAAGAAGACAGTGGGAACTTGAGCTCAGTGGTGGGAAAAGCATCAAAGCCAAAGCAGGGTCACAGGTCAGGCTGTGGTGCCAAACTCCAGGAGCGGAGGCCAGCAGCTCCACCTACTGGCATCCCTGACATGGCCCTGGGCCGCCGACATAAGCACCCACCCACGACATAAGCACCCACCCACACCCTGTTCATTGATCAGAGAACCGGCTTGATCAGCGTGAGCTGATTTAACTCTTCCAGACCCCGGCCGCTCAGCTGCAGCCTATACTTCTTCTGTGCTATGACTTTTCTCAGTAGAAATGAACTTGGGAGCACAGGGGTGTGGAGGCAGGCGGCAGAGTTACTGTATGGTTTCATCCCGTGTGAGACTCTGGGGAAGCATCCGGAGCTGGTGGGCTGAGGCCACATAGAAACCGCTTAGACCAGACATTGGGTCATTCGACCTTTGTGCCTAGACCTGGAGGCCCGGGAGCGGCAGGCCCAGGCCCATGGCAGTGAGGAGGAGGAGGAGAGCCGGAGCACCAGGACGCTTGAGCAAGAGGTGAGCGTCCAGGCACACTGGCCCGAGGCCATCTGCAGGAGGAGGAGGGGGACCCAGTGGCGGTCGTGGCAGGGGAGGGCACCTTTCCACCTTCTTCTGTAGGATCTGGGTAATCTGTCCCACCCGCAGGTTGCTGAGCCCTACCTTGCAGGTGGAACCTCCCAGGGACCTTTACAAGGTGAGCCAACCTGGAATTGGATCTGCACAGAATTGTCACCCTCCCAACCCCTGCTCTGCAGATCGAACGCCTGCGAGAAGAGGGTTCCCGGCAGCTGCAGGAGCAGCAGAGGTTGATCCAGGAGCAGATCCGCCAGGAACGGGAGCAGAGGTTGAGAGGTGAGAGGCCAGCCCCTGCCGCCTCTGCCTCTGAGGCGGCTCCAGATGCCCAGAGTGGCCATGCTGGCTGCCCAGTGGAGTCGCTGTGGAGGCTTCCACATGCCAGAACCCAGAGGCACCCCTCTCGGACACGTGCCGCCTGTCCCTTCTTCCTACCAGTTCTCTGGGGCCTATTTGCTTTTCACTCTGCCTAAGATGTCCTGGCCCCTCTGGTCTCAGTCCCAGGCAGAGCTGGCTCTATTTTGGAGCATATCACTAGGGGGAAAGGCCCTGGGACACTTTGTTTCAGGGGAACTGTGTGGTCTGTGCCTCTGCCTCTTGCCCCCAACCCTTTGTTGGCAGAGCGCTGACCGTGGCCTTCAGCAGGCAGCTGGGCAGACGCCCCTGGGCTAGCGGCTCGTCGGGATGCGGGCGTTATTGCCTCTACCTTCCCCACCAGGCTCCTCAGCAGGGCAGGGCAGACACTGCCCTTAGTCAGGAATGACTTTTTCTAGGTCCTTCTGGCTCTGGGCAGTATCTCCTTTGGGAGAACCTCTGGCTTCCTCACATTCTACCTTGCTAATTTCCCCAAATTTTCTAGGAAAGCCAGAAAATCCTGAAGGCAAAGCGACCCCCAAGCTAAAGGTGAGCCCTGTGGGCCCATGGGCCACTTTACACTACCTCTATCCGCAAGAGCAGATGCTTCCAGTGGCTTGGGGTTCTGGCGGGGACGCTGGATCTGGGAGCCAACAGCACTACCTACATCCTCCCATTCTGCCGCCTCGGGATGAGGATGTGCCGTGAAAGGCTGCTCTTAGCCCTCACGGTTTCAGCGCAGCACTCTCCAGAAGCCCCCGAAGGAGAGTATCTTATAGGGCTGGAAACACGGCAGTGGGTGAGCAGGGTGCCTGCCTGTCATTTTCAAGGGGAACACATTTTGGGGGGGTGCTCCCTAGATTAGAAGGGCCTTGAAGACTGGCAGGGTGTCTGTGTGGACTAAAGCTCCGTGTAGGGGTCTGTGCTGTTCAGGCGAAGGTCAGTGGTTAATGGTGACGCCCACTGCTGTCTTCTCAGCTGAAATGGAGGTGCAAGAAGGAGGTCGAGTCGGATGGTGGCTACTCCAGAGACGTCCTCCTGCGGCTTTTTCAGAAGGTCTGCCCTGCTGACTTGCCCCTTTCCTGTCACCTCATGCCACATCTCAGCCCAAACCCCAGGAGCTCCTTCCTAAACTTTCCTTCCGTCTCTACCTGCCTTTTGTTTTTTCTGTCACATAGACCATAGGACAGCCTGGAGACTTCTCCCCAGGCCACCGCCCTCCAGTCACTCTTGTTGCCATGTGTGGCCTCCGGCCTGGTCTCACCCTCACTGCCGGGTCTAGCCCTTGTCATCCCTAGAAGCAGAGGGCTCGGCCGAGTGTGGGGACAGAGGATGTGGGCATCTGGCACAAAAGCCCCATTCCCTCCACTGCCCTCAGTTGCTGAGGCAGCTGTGCAGCTCTGCCTTTCTAAGTGCCCAGTCCTTGGCCCAGCTCCCCTGTGCCATCCTTCTGCATTCCTGGAAAAGTCCTTCCTTTCCCATCTCTGCTCTCCCTGCTCTGGGAGCCTAGCAACAAGAAGTAATGCCCCGGTGGGCCTCAGGGCAGCCCAGGCTTGTCTCTGGCATGAGGTGGGCCATCCTGAAGGCTGAGCCATGCTTACAGGGCCCCTTGTCCCCACAGTATGGAGAGGTGCTCAACCTGGTGCTGTCCAGTAAGAAGGCAGGCACCGCCGTGGTGGAGTTTGCGACCGTCAAGGCTGCGGTGAGTGCTGCGTGAGGCTTTGAGGGGCCACTGGCGCCCTGCTATTCCAGGGGATGGACCTAATTCTGTGGGCCCTCTGAGCTTAGGTATCCACACTCCCCGGGGATCTCTGGTCCAGCTCAGAGCCAAAGTTCTCTAGGAGCCCCCCAACTCCCGGGAGTAGTGGCACAGCAAGTGAAGGGACGGATGGGAGAATGCTCCAGGGATGAAGGAGAGCACAGACTGACTTTGTTATCTGCTGCCTGGTCCACACCCTCCACCCTCCTGTGGAAGCCGGCACGCCTCCAGTTTGGGGGTCCCGCACTGCCTTCTCCCCTTCTCCCACTCCTCAGTCAGAAGGCTCGTACGCCCCAGTCGCCCATGAGGAGGGTCAGAGCTTCAGCACAGCACCGTGGGAGGGTTGCGGAGGTTGCTTGGCCCTCTTGGAGGACGAGAGTGCTGGCTCTGGTTCTTTCAGTGGGGGAAGAGAGAGCCACCTCATAGCTGACTGGAGTGATGGGACCAGGGCTGGATGCTGTGTTGGCAGGAGCTGGCTGTCCAGAATGAAGTGGGCCTGGTCAATAACCCTCTGAAGATTTCCTGGTTGGAGGGACAGCCCCAGGGTGCAGTGGGCTCCAGCCACCCAGGACTGTCACAGGTAAGGAGCCAGGCCTCACCCACTTGGCCTGCTCAGAGTTTGGGGGCCCTTTTCATGTTTGGGCTCTTCTCAGGGCCCTTTCCTTGCAAATGCAGGTCACGGGGAGTAGAGTGAGATGGGCAGGTCCACCCACCAAGCAGGGGGACTGTGGTTCCGTGCTGACATGTTTTTGGCTCTGAGGGCCAGGGGGCCCCACACCACGCAGAATTCTTAGACCTTACCTTCCCTCCTGTCCCAGGCTCCAGTTGGGGCTCTCACCATCACTCAAAGGGGTTTTCCTGGGCCGCGGGGTGCTCGGTTGTGGTGTGAAGCATTTGGCATTTAGACGACCTAGTGCTGCGGGGAAGAGGCAGGTGACACGGGCAGCTGCTTCCCTTCGCAACTTGTTTTCCAGATGTGTCTGTCCCAGACAGGCCCCCGCTGGCAAGAGGGATCATTTCCTTAGAAATAACACGGGCTACCCGGCTGACACTGGGGCGCTGCCTGGGTGCCTGACTCATAGTGAATCAGAGACTTCAGCTGACGCGTGCCCAGCACTAGCTCTTAGTCCTCACAGCTCAGCACCCCCCCAAACACACACACACACAGGGCCCTGGTCACACCTGCCCCTACTTTGGTGGGACAGAGAGCTTTCAGGCCAAGGACTCTCCCTTCTGTGAAATGGCCTGGGGGTGTGTGGGAGCCTCAGGCTGATGTGTTCACAGACCCCTCTGTGGGGGAATGCCCCTCTGTGTGTCAGCAAGGCCTTTGCTTTCATCGCCTCGGTCATGCCACCCCTGCTCCCCTACATGCCCCTCACCTGGCCGTGAGGACGGGAAGTTTTCTGCGAGTGTGTCCCAGACCCTGGACAGAGCAGGAAAATGAACTGGTCTGAACCCAACTCAGGACCCTTCTTTAGAGACCTCATTCCCCCACTGTGAGTCCCAGCATTTCACAGCCCCAGATGACACTCCATAGGCTGTGTTAGAAAGAACTTTATTCATTATCTCCTGCATCCAGAGGGGAGGCTTTCAGCTCGGCACATCCACACAAGAGGAGGGAAGAGGGGGCCACAAGGTCTGGGTTGTGGAAGCGTGTGCATTGAAGCTCCCCTCTCCCCCTCTGCCACGCTTGGAAAGGCCTGGCATGTCAGAACCAAATGGCCCAGCCAACTTGGGCTCTGGTTTCAAGTCTTCTGGTCAGGCCACAGAGTGGGGCAGTAGTGTGGCCTATGGCCTTGACCCAGGGGGCTCGGCCCTGGGTGGCAGGCCCCCATCCTCAGACGGTCCAGGCAGGCAGAGCTCTCCAGTCCTGGTGGACCAGCTGTGGGCCACAGCTCTTCTGTGGAAGAGGCAGACCAGCTACGCCTCTTCACGGTAACAGCCACGAGTTTGGGTCCATCCCCTAAGCCACTTCTCATGGGGGTGGGAAGGGGGGAAATCTACCACTATTTTTGGTGCATTTCCCAAGGGCTCCCATCAGTGATGATTCTGGGGATTCCCCATAGCACCCCTTTGCAAGGTGTGTCTGTGCCTTCGGTTGGCATGCCCTCGAGCCACCTTCCTCGGGCACTGGGGAGAGCTCCGGGCGGCTGTGTTGGCAGCTCAAGTCTCTCACGCCCCCGTTTCTGCTGAGATTCTTCTGGCCTTTCTCATGAGTTAGGCTCTGTATGTCTCCGTGCTCTGCTCTTCCGACTCTGCCAGCCCCTCCCTCCCCTCGCAGGCCCATGTGCTTCCCCTTCCCCACCATGCCACTGGTGGCTCCAGGCCATGGTCTAGGCCAGCGCTGTCCGATAGAACCTTCTCCATCGATGTTAATGTTCACCCTGCACTGTCCAGTGTGGTAGCCGTGGTAGCCGTTAGTCATGTGTGGCTGTTGAGCAGTTGAAATGCAGCTAGTGCAACTGAGGAACTAAATTTTTAATTTTACTTATATTAATTCCAACTACAACAGCTACATGGAGCCAGTGGCTACCGTATCAGACAAGGTCAAGCCTGTCGCATCCTCCTCCCCTCAAGTCTCCCCCCTTTCCTATTCTGCCTGGGGTGGACCACTTTTGCCTAGACCTGTCCTGTAACCTCTCTCTGTTGACAGTGGCTTCAGAGGGGGCTGGCACAGGGCACCTGTCTGATCTGCCAGGTCTCTGTGTCTTCCACCCCTTGACTGGCACTTGTGCCACCCTCCCCCTCTGCTGACCTCTGCCTGGTCCCCGCAGTTTAGGCGTGGCCTCCCTCCCCAGCTTAGCCAGCTGCCTTCAGGGTTCCTGCCAGCAAGCGCCACCCTCACAGCGTTTCCAGCTTGCCTCTGACCCTCTGCCCTGCACTCTGGGGTGACCTGGAGGATTCTTCAGGTCCCAGAGGGCAGGCAGGGCCCTGGATTCGTCTCCCTACCTTTTCCTTAATCCATGACTGTACCCTCCTTCCCTGGGTCCCCAGGCTCTGGGTCTTCCAGTCAGCCCTTCTCTGCCTACCCTCGCCGCATTCAGAAGCTGGGCTCATTGGGAAACTGTTCCCTCAGCATCTGTAGAACTTCTTCAAGAAGAGAAATCCCCAGGTCCACTTTGAAGGAGAAGAAGGGATCATTAAGGTCTGGAGCCCGTGTCCCCTGGAAGGGGGGAGTGTCCAGAAGGTCCTCCTCGGAGCAGTGGTGGAGGGTGCCCGCCAGGGAGAGCGCTGAGGGCAGGGTAGCCGAGTAGGCAGCAGTGTATGCAGGTGTCGGCTCCAGGATGTTGGGGCAGCTGGAGCTCTCTCGGTAGAGGCGCGGGGGCTTCGGAGGGGCCAGCAGGGTGGCCCGGGGCTGCTCATCCCCCCACAGTGGCAGGCGCCGGCCATCTGGCCTCCCTTGCAGCTCCCGGATGACCTCTCGGTTGCTGTACTCCTCATGGTCCCCGCCAGCTGTGCTGGCCTGGCTAAGCACACTGCCCTGTCGCCGGAGTCGTCCTGGCCGCCCCAGGCTCAGCCGCTTGAAGAAGGAGGCGTTGCGGAAGGAGCCTTTCCGCCAGGTCTCCATGGGACCCCGGGGAGCCAGCAGACAAGCCTGGTACCTCCGAAGCCTGGTCAAGAGCAGCCGCGGACCATTTGGTTCCCTGCTGGAGCAGTGACTGTCAGGAATTGGAGAGATGGCCCTACTGGGCCCGGAGCAGGGGCCTCCAGGTTTCTGCTCAGCATAGGCCTCTGGCCAGCATCTTGGATGGTGAGATGAGGCTGCAGGAGGAGGGTGCTTTTGTCCAGGAGAGCAGAGAGCTGGGAGTTTCCCAGAGGGACAGGAGTGGCCTGGTCACTTGATAGGACAGTAGGAAAAACCCCAAGAGGAAGAAGCAGCACTTACTGGAGCCAGAGTGAGGGCTGCTCCCGTGGAGTCAGAGATGGATCTTCTCAGCTGGCGGGGGCAGCCTGTGCTCCTTGGCCGGCACTGGGTTCCTCATGGCCCTGCTCACCTTCCCTCCCTGGCCCCTGCACCCATGTCCGGAGCAGCACAGGGCTGTGCTGTCTGCCGCGGCTGGGGACTCTGATGAGTGGCTTGGCTGTTTGTGCCTGTGTGTGGCAGTGGAGCTGTGTTGTTGTTTGCAGCTGAGTCAGTCAGGTGGGAAGCTGGGTTTCGTGCTGAGGTAATTGCAGCATCCGCAGGCAGGGATTGGGCAGCCCGGGCCAACACCCCAGGGCACTGGGGAGCTTAAGATTCCTCTGGGGACTCATGTGGGGGCAGCCTGCTTTATGTGTCACCACGCGGCCTCCTTTTTCCCCACAGGCCCACCACCCTGGGCAGGCCAGACTCCCCAGCCCCCAGTGTGTCTGGGAGGGAGGAGCCCAGGGAGGGTGGGAGTTAATTGAAAGGCAGGCATGTGGAACAATTGTTGGGGAAGGAAGAGAGACCTGTCCCTGGTGCGAGTGACTCAGCCCTGGGGCCTGGTGACAGGCCCTCATTAGCAGAACCTGCAGGTATAGGGAGAAAGAGGCAGAGGGTGTGTTAACGGGGAACAGCCCCGTGCCTGTAAAGGGTTGGCTCCGCCCAGGGCTGGGCTCAGGCACGCCAGGGTGACTCCACGTTTTCTTGGCAGAGCAGCGTTACCTTGGGGGGGCGGAGAGAATTGCCCTCCCTTTGGCCTGACACCCAGTCTAGCTGCTCATTTCCTTATCCCTCCTTGATTGACCCAGATGGCCTCAGAGCAGGGGAGAGCAGTTGAGGTCCTGGGTCCTGCTGCCTCCTACTCCGCTGTGCTCCAGCCCTTCCCCTCGGGCTGCCCGGGGTCCCTCCTCTTGGAGGGGGCTGGGCCACATGGGGCTGCCCTGAATTTCAGCAGTGCTCTGGGCCAAGCTTAGGAAGTGGGTCTGGCTGGGAGGGCAGCTCTCCTCAGAGCTGCTGCTGCTGCAGTCTGGGAAGGAGGAGGGCTGAGGCCGTGGGCAGGGGCAGGGGCATCTGAGCTGCATACCACTTCCTGGTTTTGTACACCCCTTAGTCCAAACCAGTTGGCCAGGGCCTGGCATCTTAACTCCAGCCACTCCCTTCTTACTCCCCAGGTCACTGGCCACCAGCCTTTCCCCCTGGCTTATTCCATGACAGTGCCCCAGCTTGGTGTACCGCAGAACAGGGCTCAGCAGTGTCCTCTTCTGTGCAACCCCCCGGGCCTGGCTGGCTTCTCTGCCAGTTCAGGTGGGCTTCACACTTCACACAGCTTCAGCTGCACTGAGGGAGGAAGAGATTTAATTCCCACTGCAGACCTTATCAGGGCATGGGGTTGGCGGCTCAGGGCTCTGCCGTAGAGCTGCCTCTCCACCGCACAGCCTTGGCCCGTTGATGTGACTGTTTATTATTCTTTTGATTATTAAAATACAGCACTCTTTAATCCCCTGCACTGTGCTGGCAAGAGCATAAAAGAAAAAGCCACGAGCCCTGCCCTGCAGGAGCCCTGGTTTGTATTTTTAGGAGGCAAGCCGGCCTCTTGCTTGTCTCTCTCCTCCTAGGGTGGGGCTGATTGAGGCTGTCTAGGGTGGGGCTCCCTGCTCCTGCATCCTCAGCAGGAGCCAGGCCACAGGGAAGGTGGGCAGCTGGGAGGGGGCAGAGCGGAGTGGATTCCTGCACCTCTGACAGCCTCCCTTCACCGGAACCTGTGAGAAGCAGAAACCACAGGGTGGAGGAAGTGAGTGTCAAATAAAGGGCTGAGAGGAAGTGAAGGGAGCCGAGGGCCTAGGAAGTGATTCACCCGGGAAGGATGAAGCCAAGCTGACTGTAGATGCGAAGGGCCTGGGAAGGGGAGGTGGCAGGGATAACTGGTTGGGTGGGCTGAAGGGGAGCCAGCTGAGCAGTGGGCCTGCGGCCACAGGCCTGCCTGCTCGGAGGGAACGTGGGGGAGTCGGGGTCGCAGGCTGTTCCGGGGTCCTCCCCTTCCTGGCATCCTCCCTCCTTGACTCTTGACTGCAGCTCTGCCTCGGCCCTGTCCTCCGGGTCTGGAGTCTGGAGCTGTGCTCTGCTGCCCTTAACCCATCCCTGTCCCCACTCTGTCCCCCAGGGCTCAGTGCGGTCTGAGAGGGACTATGAGAGCCTCGTCATGATGCGCATGCGCCAGGCAGCTGAGCGGCAACAGCTGATCGCCCAGATGCAGCAGGAGGACAAGGCGGCGCAGCCCACGTAGCCACCAGCGTCCAGGCCTCCCCACCACAGCCCTTTTCTTAAATACCACCAATAAACTTTGTTTTTTTTAAGTCTTCCTCTATTGTATACATAGCTGTAGGGTGCTGGCTTGCCCAAGTGTGGCCCTGGTGTCTGCGCTCTGCCTCAGAGGGCCCCACCCAGGCCTGCCTCACCCTCCCCGAGTGAGCGGGCGGACCCCAGAGAGGCGCTCCCTGTGGTGAGAGTCAGTGCGCCAGCAGAGGAGCAGCCGCTCATCACAGCCCTTTATTGGCTTGGACCCGCTGTGCAGGATCCACCCACCCAGTCCTGGGCCCATGCTCTGCCCAGCTCCCAGCCAGGGGCGGCCTGGCTCTCACTGGCCCCTTCGGCCTGCCCACAGAACATGGCCTCTTCCAGGGCCCTCACCAGATGTGAAGCTGGAGGGACAGCAGGAACACCAGGGCAACGGGCCCTGCCCTCCCTCCGGCTGAGGCAGGTTTCAGAGAAGGCCACTCACTGCCCAGTGCTTCCGGGCCCAGGAGAGTGATGATTTGGGAAGAGAAGGGCAGGGTAGTGAAGTGAGGCAGGGGTTGGGGCCAGTGGCAACCACTCGAAAGAAGGGGTGCCCTGTCTGCTCCTCGGTGTGAGGGGGTCACTCCTTGTGCAGGCACCACACCAGCGTCTGGCCCACGCCCGTCATGCTCAGCACACGGAAGCCCCTGCGTTCCAGCTTGTCCAGGACTATGCGAGGAGGGTCATTGACGTAGTACTCACAACTGCAAAGAGGGGGCAGCATGAGCGGGTACACAGTGCGAGCTCCCCCTACAACTACAAAGCTGGTATCTGCTGAAGACGAGGCCTGGTCAGGAACACTCACTGCAGCTGGGAGCCAAGCTCAGCACACAGTCCCCGCACCCTCCCCTGGCTTTGCAGGCATGAGCCCATCCTCCTAACAACCTAAGGAAGTTACCACTTTCCCACCGTCTGACAGATAGTAGAACCCAGACACCCCACGACACCCCACGTGCCCTGGGCCACTGCTCTATTCAGGAGGAGTGGCCTGCTCTCCCTGGCTCCTCCCCCAGGCCTCTGCCTGCTCTGGCTGCCCTGCAGTCCTGGAGCAACGGGCTGGCCCCTAATAGCTCCTGGCTCTGGGTGCCGCTTCCAGGCATGGGAAAAGCTTGGTTTCTCTTCTTTCAGGGTTGATTCTGAAGGGCCATCAAGCGGATAAAGGGCTCAGGCCCCAAGCCAGGAATCTTGAGACAAGCGCCTTGAGGCAAAAGGATGGGGTTGGTGGCTTCAGCCCTCCAACCTGGCCCAAGGGGCTGGGGCCAGCTGGCCTCCTTTCTCCTGGCTTTGAACTGGGACTCCTTCTGCCAACCCCTCTCAGGAGTTTGGGACCTGTGGAGCCAGAGTTCCCCCTGCCTACAGAGGAAGCCGTGAGGGGGCAGAAAAGGAAACAGCGCTCACTGTTCAGACGTGGAACTGGTGGGGAGGCTGCCAAGGAAAGTGGCCAAGTCCCCAGGTAGCAGCTGAGCCGAAAGTAGGACCCAGGCTGCCTGCTCCCTGTTTCTAGGGCTTCACTTTGTTACTCAGCTGGCTCTTCAAGACAGAAACCTTTCTCTCTCTGCCTGTCTTTGCCTTGATGGGCTCCCGCTTGGAGCTGAGAGGGCAGGGCAAGGAACAGTCCTCGTAGGGAGTCCTATGCCCAGGGAATCAGGCTCTCTCCTGGGACTTTGTCCTGGGGTCCTCTTGTGAAGGGAGGGCCAGTGGGAAAGCTTTCAGAGCAAAAAAAAAGCTCAGGGAGCTATGGTGAGGCCACAGACGGGGACCCCACCTGCAGAGGTCAAAGCCCCAGGATGCAGGACAAGGGGCTCCAAGGCTGACCCTGGGCTTGATGGTTGTGTAAAGGGAACAGGGACAGGCCTGGGGCTGGTGAGGAGAAGATACTTAGCAATGCCGCTACTTACAAGTTGTTTCCTAGGACACTTCTTTTTGAGGCCCCTAGATGCTGCATCAGCTCCGGATCTGAGTGCTCATCGCCCACCATGGTGGGGCCCACCTCCTGCAAGGGAAGCCACAGCGGCTGCTCGGCTGCTACCAGGGAGAGCTGGCAGGTCTCACGTTTCCGTCCTCCCCTGCTTGCTGGCCCTGAGCCAGCTTCAGTGAAGGGCTAGAGGGGGTGTGAGGAAGCTTGGGGGCTGAGCACAAGCTGGGAAGCGGTGGGGCCCGTCAGTAATCAGGCCAAGCAGTGTGGGGCCTCTCTAGCCCCTCCTTGCCGAGCTGGGCATTGCCCAACTACTGGCACCTGCATGCCAAGCACCACCATCCGTGTTTGTGTGTAGCAGAATCACCTGGAGAACAGAGAGATGAAGACATACCTCCACACAAAAACTTGTACACCAAGGTTCACAGCGGCATTACTCATAACAGCCAAAACGTAGCAACAGCCTAAATGTTTGTCAGCTGATGGATGGATACATAAAATGTGGTATGCCCATACAATGGAATCTTATTTAGCAATAAAAAGGAATGAGTACTGACCCATGCTACAATATGGATGAACCCTGAAAACATGCAAGTGAAAGAAGCCAGGCACAAAAGACCAAATATGACAGAAAGTAGATTAGCAGTTACCTAAGGCTGGGGGGCTCAGGAAATGAGGAGTAACGGGTAAGATCTGAGGTATGGGTAAAGGGTTTCTTTTTAAGGCAATGGAAATGTTCTAAAATTGATTATGGTCATGGTAGCACAACTCTGAACATCCTAAAAAAATAAAAAGCCATTGAATTGTACACTTTAAATTGGTGAATTCTATGCCTATATGTATTTTATATCAATAAAGCTGCTATCTTAAATAAATAAATAAATAAATAAATATATAAAAAGAATTGCCTGAGGAGGAGCACTGATTCCCCAGCCCCAGGCTGATACAGTGTTTCAGGAGGTCTGGGAAGGGGCCCAGGAGTCCACATTTTAACACCTGCACAGGTGACTGGCCCTCACACCATCGCCCTAGGTCACTGCCAAGACCCCTGCGGTCAGCCGAGCTCACCTGCTATCTCTTTCATCCCAAGGAAGCTGTGTACCCGCTGAGGGATCACCCAAGCACGGGGAGTGGGAAGGGGCAGAGAAGCATCCTGCTGCCCAGCTGGGGGACCCAGTCTTATCATTCTGAAGCTAAATGGGGACTCCTGGGGCGACCAGCACCTTCTCAGACCAGGAAATTGCGCAGAGAGAAAGGGGCGTGACTTCTGACTGCTGGCCGGTGTTCTCCCCACCTCTAACCCTAAGGCCTGTCTCCCCTGGCTTCTTCACGAGCAGGAAATTCTTTCTTCTCTTCCTTTCCTAGGGCCTCGGATCGCTCTTCCTGGAAGTGCCTATGGGTGCAGCTAGTGGCTGTGGATGGGCCAGGCACTTGGCACAGGTATTTTAGTGCCTTAGCACGTCCTTTTCTTTTCCAAACCTCTTTCCCTCAGGTTATTTCACTTTTTCCCCCCTGCAGAGCGGTTCTGTGTGGAGCAGTGGGTGCTGCACGGTGAGGCCAGGGCTTCCTGGGTCCCTCCCGGAGGCTCGGACCTCCCGCGACAGGTAGGACAGGAGCCGCAGGTGCCCGGCGCTCGGTCGGGCGCGGAGGCGCACGCACCTGGCCTCCTTCGCGGCCCTGGAGGCGCCGGGCCGGCCAGAGCTCCCCGAGTGCCGGGACCCGAGCAGAGTCCGGTCTCCAGGCTCCCTCCCAGCGGCCCGAGGGGGCGTGTCCCGGGTGGCTTCCGGGTCCAGGCACCCCCCCCCCCCCCCCCGGGAGGGAGGCGCCTCGGTGCGGCCGCAGCCCCCTCGGCCCGGCCAGCGCCAACTCCTGCCGGCCGGGGGCCGGGTACTCACCATGCGGATCTGGGTGCTGATGAGCAGGTAGGGCATGGTGCGCGCGTCCCGGCCGGGCTCCCACCCTCGGCTTTAGGCCGGCGCCCTCGCCAGCTCGACGGGCTACGGGACTGCAACCCGCCGCCGCGAGTCCCGTTACTCCGGCGCTGGCCTCGGGCGGCGCCAGTCCGGGTGCGCCCGGCCCGTGACCGCCGCGGCCGGCCAATCAGGAGCGGGCGCCGTGACGCGCCCAGGCCCTCGGCGACTCGGGCCCGCCCCCTGCCCTCCGGGCAGCGCCCTGGGACATGGGCTGCGACCACGGCTTCCACCGGCTGTCTGGCCGCCAGGAGGGGTGCGTGTTGGGGGGGGGGGGCCGCTCCCGCCCCCGCAGCCTGGAGGCGGGGTGGCCCGCCGGGCTCGGCCGGCTGCGGCGGGCCGTGGCGCCATGTGCGCGTGTCGTCCTTGCGCCCTCTTACTGCAACGCCTCCAGTAACAGGTTCCAAAGTCCTGCTGGTCCCCGCCCTCGTCCCTGCGAAGCAGAGCAGGGAGCCAACGACGACCCCGCTGAAGCCTCCTAAGCTCCAGCTCACCCCACTCAGCGGTTGGGGTGATTTTAGCGGATCCCCACTTCCCGTCCCCAAGACACGGTCTCCAGAGACGACTTCAGCGCGCGGGAGACAGGGGTAGGAGGCTTGAGGCCACAGCTGAAATGCCGTCTCGGCTGCATTGCGCATTCCCGCCTCCCCGACGGTAATGCCCAGTCCAGCGGCGGAGCCTCGCATTTCTGTGGCCCTGTAGGTGAATCTGTAAAGGAACTGAGCGCTTGGCCTGGTGCCCGCCTGGAGGGACTCAGCCCAACCGATCCTGGCCCTGCGTTCCGACGGCTGCCCGCGAAGCTGGAGAAAGGTGGCGCACGCGCAGGAGAACTGAGGACAACACTTGGGGCAAAACAAAGCTCCCCGCCCCGGGCACCAATGAGAGGGCAGGGAGTTCACCTCCACGCGTGCACGCCCTCGTCTGGATGTATCAAAATGCGACAACTCTACATTCCTTACCTGCCTTGTTGTGATTGGTTCTCTAAAAAAACGAAGCAAAACAACAGCCTGTAACGTGCCCTCCCTGCCCTTGAAAACTCTTCATTGAAGGGCGCTTACAGAGCCTCCAGCACTTGGACAAGATGCGGAGAGCGCTCTAAGGGAACTGGGAAGTTGTAATCCTAAAGGATCCTTACTGGTCTAATTTGTTACTCTGCAGTCTCTACCCCTCTTCTCTACCTCCAGGACTAACAGTTTAGCTAGAGAGAGAAGGCACATTCCTGCGTGGCTGGCCTGTGGGGTAGTGGTTAAGTTCGCACGCTCCACTTTTGCAGCCCCAGTCATGGGTTCGGGTCCACGGCACAGATCTATACATGCTGTCAAACCATGCTGTGGCAGCATCCCACATACAAAATGGAGGAAGATTGGCACAGCTGTTAACTCAGGGCGAATCTCCCCCCTCACTCACCCCCCCACACAAAAAAACATATTCGTGCTTAACAAAAGGTTTGTTAAACTGACAAAGGATTAATCCCCAACACATATAAAGAACTCCTACAAATCAATGAGAAAAAGATAAATCAGTAGAAGAAACATGGGCAAATGACTAGAACAGGTACTCTCAAAAGAGAGAATGGAACTGGCCAATAAACGTACAACACGATGTTGAGTATCATTAGAAATCCCAGAAATGCAAATTAAACTACAGTTTAAACCACAGTCAATACTGCTTTAATGATTTGCACAGACACACACAAAATCTGTAAACGTCAAGTATTGGTGAAGATCTCTAACAACTGGAACGACTACTGTTGGGATTGCAAATTGTTATGATTGATACAGTCACCTTGGAAAACAATCATCTAGTAAAGCTAGATGCCTCCCGGGTGACCCAGCCAGACCTCTCCCACATCAACCTCAGAAAAACTCACTGACACGCATCCGGGTCCATGTGCAAGAATATTCCTAACAGCGCTGTTTGTAATGAGGAAAAAAAACTGGAAACAGTCCTTATAGCCATCAAAAGTGGAGTAAGTTTTTGGTTGATTCATGCAGTGGACACTGTATAGCAGTGAAAGTGCTGAGTGAAAAAGCAAGTCTTAGAAAAATATAGAATAATCTTATTTACATAAAGCTCACAAACTTGCAGAACTAAACAATATATTGTTTGGGGATAAAAACATGTGGCCAAATTATAAAGAAAAGTAAAGGAATGATAAATGTAATAGTCAGGGTACTGGTCACCTCTGAGAGAAGGGAAAGGAACAGGATGGGGACAGACGTGCAGGGGTCTTAAAAGGCAAAAGTGATGTTCTCTTCCACTAGGATATGGGTGCAAAGAGTTATAAATGTATTCAATCTTTCTACGTGTATTATAAATACTCTTTTTTAGCCATTAAATATTTTGTAAGAACAATTAAAAAATAAAAATAATTTTTTTAAGTGTCAAGTACCTTAGAGGTTAGACACAAGGGGTAAAGCCACTAGCCCAAGGCATTTGACCCTGTCTCCTCTCTTGGAAGAGCCAAGTAGATAAGGCTCTCTCGTTCTGGCCAGAGAGCAGAGCAGGAGTTAGGGGTCCACTCTGCTCTCTGCTCTCTCAGGTTGGGCTGTGGAGGGTTGGGGGGAGATGGAAGGGCAGTGCATGTCTCAGGCTGCCAGGGCTTTATTACATTTGCAAAGCTGATCTGCAGATGCAGTGTAAGATAGAGAGCTCCATCCAGAATCGCTCACCCCGTGCTGAATGCCCTGGCAGCCCCCTACTTGCCAGATAACATCTTTAATATCCAGGGGGAAATGAATTCCCCCGCTTGGTCTGCCCATCTGGCCTTGCCTCTTGCCACAATCAGTCTGGCAGATCTTCCTCCCCTGCAAAAAGAAGAGAAATTGTTCTTCCACAGCTCCGCTTTTCATCATGAAAGCATCGTCTGAGTGGCAGGGCCTGGGTATTGGTCATTCCTTCTTGCCTGCCTTCCTCTATTCAGCTTTCATGGGTGGCTTCTGTATTAGAGCTGTGCTAGGCACAGGGGACGAGGAGATGAATTAGGCGTGAACCTCATCCTGAAGAGGGAGCGGTCCAGTGGGGTAGACAGATAGAAAGCAAATAATCAGGCACCAAGTGTAATGGAGGTAATGGAGCCTCAGGAGCAGAGAAAGATAAAAAGATTAATTCCACCAAGGTGGTGGCCTGGGAAGGTTTCCTGGATGAAATGAATTTTTATTACCTCTAAAATAAAGTTAATATTTTTTCTTATTACAAGAGAAACGCATGCTTATTTCAGAAAAATGAGGAAAAAAATGTGGAAAAGGATACTAAAAACACTCTTTTCTCATCATCAAGACAATCATAGTTAATAATCCCTTAGTATATCTCAAGAGGTATTAATTGAACTGAATCCTTAAAAATGAGTAGAAGGTACTGGTGAAGTTCTATTCCTTAAGCTGTGCGGTGGGTACCTCACTGCTTTTAAATTAGTCTTTAGAATGTATATATAAATTAAATGTACTTTTTTTTTTTTGGAGGAATATTAGCCCTGAGCTAACTACTGCCAATCCTCCTCTTTTTGCTAAGGAAGACTGGCCCTGAGCTAACATCCATGCCCATCTTCCTCTACTTTATACATGGGATGCCTACCATAGCATGGCTTTTGCCAAGTAGTGCCATGTCCGCACCGGGATCCTAACCGGCCGGGCTGCCAAGAAGCGGCAGGTGCGAACTTAACCACTGCGCCACTGGGCTGGCCCCCTAAATGTACTCTTATATGTGTAAAGTATCTCACAATTAAAAGGTAAATAAATATCTAGTCAAGGATTTTGGGAGGACTGGTCTAGATATTTAGGCTGTCACTAAACTAATTTTTTTGTTTTTTAATTTATTTATTTGAGGAAGATTAGCCCTGAGCTAACATCTGCTGCTAATCCTCCTCTTTTTGCTGAGGAAGACTGGCCCTGAGCTAACATCGTGCCCATCTTCCTCTACTTTATACATGGGACGCCTGCCACAGCATGGCTTGCCAAGCAGTGTCATGTCTGCACCCAGGATCTGAACCAGCAAACCCCAGGCCAGCAAAGTGGAACGTGTGCACTTAACTGCTGCACCACGGGGCCGGCCCCAAAACTAAATTTTAACTCTTAAGAAATGTCGATGATAAAATTGGAATCATAGTCCGTAAAATCCTGTATTTTTAGTTTCTAAAACTACAAGAAATTGCATAAGATCACAAGAATAAAATGGAATATAAAAGAATCTATGGGGGCTGGCCTGTGGCCAAGTGGTTAAGTTCTCATGCTCCGCTTTGGTGGCCCAGGGTTTTGCCAGTTTTGGTCCCTGGCACGGACAAGGCACCACTCATCAGGTCATGTTGGGGGGGCATCCCATATAGCACAATCAGAGGCACTCATAATTAGACTATACAACTGTGTACTGGGGGTGCTTTGGGGAGAAGACCAACAACAACAACAACAAAGATAGGCAATAGATGTTAGCACAGGTGCCAATCTTTAAAAGAATCTATGGGCCACGGGTGGGCACAGAAAAACTGATGAACACAGATTTAAAAACAAAAAAAGCGAAATAGTATCTGAACCAATTTAAGCAATCAGAAATCAAGTCAAATTTCAGCCTCACTCAAATGTTAAAAAATGTTACCAGTAGAGGAACAGAATGTTACCACATGAAGGGCTTTCTGCTGGCTGGGAAGCAAAAGCCAACCGTCAAGAGGTAAGATGGTGGCAGAGAAAGGGCATTTTATCACAGCTTGCTAGCAAGAGGGATGATGGCCAACTAATGTCCAAAAGAACCATCTTCAGGAGGCAGAGAATCTTGAAGCAGTTAGGAATGTTGAACCAGGAGTCACCACACCGGATCTATCAGTTGTCACTGAGATGGCTATCAGCACAGACTCTCTGTTTGGGGGTCATCACATTCCTAAGGAACTCAAAAGAACAAGGGTATCTTCTTATCCTCTTATTGCAGCTGGGAGGTATATGCACTAGCAGGGGTCATAAAATCTATGGAGCAGGCAGATCTCCTGGAGAGTGGTATCCAGTTAGAGGTCATTCAAAGTTACAATATGGCTTCTTTTCTACAATATGGTTTCCCTTATGTCAACCTTGTATTGAGCTGGTATTATGAATTTCATTACATTCTGGAAATGGAAAAACAATTTATAATCCTACCCCTGGTTAATGTAATAACGACAATGTAGAGTTTAAGGCTTTTTTTAGTGCTGGGGTGTGCATCTGTGAGTTTTTAAGTGTCAACAGGCAGAAGCTGACCCTGGGAACTGCGGGACCTCTTGTGGCTAACCAACGATTTATCTGTTCTAATCTCAACTGTCAAAGGCGCTATTGTCTAGTGCTTAGCAAATGGTGTGAGTAAAAATGAATAAACAAATTAAGCCAAAATCAAATAAAGTCTGAGTTTTGGCAGAGTGTTAAGGTGAAGGTAGGAAACGGTAGCGTTTTCCAGGTAGAGAATGGGTCATTCTAGGCACCAACAACAGTAGATCTGAAGGTAGAAAGTGTGAATTTACTGAGCATATAACAGACCTCAGCTGGCCAGACCGCGGGGGTTACTGCTGGAGCGTGCGGCCCTAGAAGTCCCAGCTTTGCCCCTTGTTCCCTCCCTTCTCCCGGCTTCTCCGTTCCCCTTTCCCGCTCTCTGCTGGCTCCGCCCCTCTGGGGGCGCCCCGTGGTCCCGCCCCCTGAAAAAACCTGGGCCGGAGGCGGAGCCTCGTGTAGTCATCTCCCCACGCCGTGCTGACTGCGCGCGGTGCTGAGGCGCCGCTTACTGACGTCACGGTCATTGACAGCGTGAGGCGGCGGCCGCTGCCATGGTGGTGAGGAGGCGGATAAGGGTGTGCGTGGGTCTCCTGCCAGGCCGGGGCGCCTTCAAGGGCGGGAGGGAGGCCGGGAGGTTGCAGCCAGGGCGGCGGGCTTGTAGTCTGCCGTGTCGTGAGGCTGGGGGGAGGGTCGGAGGCCCAGAAACCTGATCGGGAGTCAGGGTTAGGGGGCGTGTTGGAGGGGAAGCTGAGTGAGAGGCGCGGGAGTCAGGCTCGGGGCGCTGGCGGCAACTTTAGGGTCCGGACTGGGGTGAGGGTGGTTGGGAGCTCAGGGTCTGGGCAAGGAGACATCTCCAGGGGGTCGGCCTTGGGGGTGGGGGCACCACACTCACGAATCTCTCTCCCCCTGCCCCGCCGCCGGCTCCCGGTGGCTCACGCGGGCAGCAGGTGCAGCATGTCTAGTTTGGGGGCCTTGGGCGGCGCCCGCGCCGGGCTGGGACTGTTGCTGGGCACCGCCGCGGGCCTTGGATTCCTCTGTGCCCTTTACAGCCGACGGTGGAAATGGAACCAGCGCCATGGCCAGACCCAGACCCAGAGCCTGCCGAACTCCCTGGACTATACGCCGACGTCCGAGCCCGGACGCCAGGGTAGGTCCCCTGCGGCCGCAGTCACGGCTGATGGATGGGCCTGGGGTCCGGGCTGCCTTTGGCAGAACCTGTGGGACAGGACAACAGAGGGAGGGGGTGCCTGAGAGTTTCACCTTTTTGGAAAGCTTATTGAAAAGGAAAGCAGTCTTCCTCTTCTGTACTCTTTCACCTCTAATTTCAGGAAAATGTATTGTGGAAAGGCTGTTCAGCTTTCACTTTTAGTTCTGGCCACAGTAGTGCTATGTATGTATTAAAGGCACTTGCTTAGTGTTGGATGAGGTGTTTAGTAAGTAGAGGAAGGGCCCAAAAGAAGACAAAAGGAAAAGCTAATCCTACAGGCATTAAACGTCTTGAGGCTTGTGTATTACATTGCATACTATTAGAATTTGAAGGGGCGTTGGAGACTACCTAATCCATTTTTTTATCCTTCTTATGAGGGAATCCAGATTCAAAAAGATTGCATAAGTTTCCTGAGTTGGTCACAGGGCAAGTAAGTGGCAGGCTTGGGCCTGGTCACCTGGTCCTGTGGACTTTCCCTGGCCCGAGGCTGGGTGTGCACTTACTGCAGTTGAAGCTGAATATCGCTGGAAGGCAGCCACAGCTGAGAGGGGTAGTGCTTTCAGTTTTGCAAACTTTCCATGTCAACAACTCATTTGAGGAAAGCATCTGGGGCTGGTTCAAACCACTCCCCTCAGGTCTGTGGAATGGAGGAGCGTTCCAATCATTTCACCCCATATTAATTGGGAATGAATGTTATCTCTGATTACCAAATGCCAGATGGTTTGGAAAAGTTAGTTTTAGAATAGTCTTCAAAGAGTTATCACCTTCAGTTGCCACCTGCTGTCAGCATCTTATAACCTGGTGGTAACCTAGGATTGCAAGTGTGCTTGTCTGTCTTTTCCTTGTGTTTTGTTCGTTTGTAATTTCCTAGCAGTTGTCTTTCTTCTGCTGAGGTGGGGAGAAAGTGGCCACATTCCCAGGGATCTTTCTTGCTCGACATTCTTGAACATTGTTGGGTGTGTGTGGTAGTCTGGCCCAGATTGTTACTAGATCTCCTTTAACAGATTTATGGTTGCCTGGACTGTGGGTCCTGCCTTCCTGGTTTCTTTCCTGTTCTTAATTTTCCAGTCCAGTTGCCTTCGTTTCCCAGTATGTGCTGTTGGAATTGACCTACAGCTCACTTCACGGCTTGGGAATGGTGTTTATCCGATGAGGTTTGGCTTGGCTTTTTCCGGTGTACCCTTTCTCTTTGCCCCTCTCTGATGATACTCAGTGAAGTTCTTGAGAGGCACTCAGCGTTTTCTTTGCTATTCTTTGTGACGTGAACGATCAGAATGTGAGCAAGCTCAGTTTTAGTTTTGCTGTGTGGCTGGTGTTGACTGCCTGGTACTTGGGCAGTATATAGTCAGGTAAAGGTTTCTCTTTTACTCTAGCAGGGCAGCTGTCCTGCCTTCTAGATACCACAGTCTTGCAAGCATTTTACACTATCTGCTGTGGTGTGCAGTGCTGCTGAAGGACCTGGTGTGGAAGGTTCTTGGAACAGAGGGCTCTTGTTTAGAGATGGGGACCTTGACTTTTTTTCTGGATAGTTACTTGGGACTCGTGACCAGGACATAGCTGTGAACATAGGCTAACTGAGCCTAAAGGGTCTTTGTAAATTAAACTCCAGTGAGAAGCAAGTGTTCTTGAATTCTAGGCGCCAGATCTTTCCCTCACTGTATCCCGTGGCATCACTGTCTCCTGTCCTCCTTCCTTCAGTGCGGCCGTTGCGGGCAGTCCCAGGCGAGGCTGGAGATGCTGCGGTGCTGCCCGGCCTTCCACGA